CTCGCTTCCAATAGCATAACATACATCTAAAAAATTATGTGGAATGTTCCATGTCAAGCGTCGCAGGTAAGAATTAAGTAACTATGACATTTTAGAGGTCTTTAACAAGATTCAAATTGTATAGAATTATTATAAGAAATGATATGATTTATTGTAATCTCTTCGTTTAAAACACAATGCCTATATTATTATCATAATTTGCAAATCTAAACAAATTATATATAAAATTCAGGTGGTGTAGCCTTTTCAACTTTACAATTGTATATCCATTTATAAAATCTGCTTAAAACTTCAATATCACACACACTGGACTGATGCAACTATGACGTAGATTTTTTTTTATTCTTTTTTTCTGTTTTGGGTCACGATTATGATGGAAATTTGATGTTCAAACTTCAAACTAGAGGGATTCATGGGATTGATTTGTGGGATGAGACATTCCCTTACTAAATGTGGTGATTGGATCCTAGTCTTATTGTTGGGAGTACAATTTCATTTTCTCTATTCTTTTTGAATCAATTGTAAAAATAAAATAAATAACTAGGCTTTTGACCCATCATCAAGATAAGGGTCTTGGCCCCTCAAGCATTCATTTATTTGATAAGGGTCATGGCTTGTGTAGTCTTTTTCTTTTTCTTTTTATTTTTTGATAATCTAGTGTTAAGGCGAAACCGACTAATCTCAAGACTCAAGCGAAACGTTCCTTCTACACGAGTCAAGAAAATCTCAAGCAATGCCCACAAACGTGGCCCTTAAGGAATTAATTGCTTTCATTTTCTCTATTCTTTTTGAATCAATTGTAAAAATAAAATAAATAACTAGGCTTTTGACCCATCATCAAGATAAGGGTCTTGGCCCCTCAAGCATTCATTTATTTGATAAGGGTCATGGCTTGTGTAGTCTTTTTCTTTTTCTTTTTATTTTTTGATAATCTAGTGTAAAGGCGAAACCGACTAATCTCGAGACTCAAGCGAAACGTTCCTTCTACACGAGTCAAGAAAATCTCAAGCAATGCCCGCAAACGTGGCCCCTAAGGAATTAATAGCAACTCCTTGCTTGTTTGGAATTATAGTTTGTATAGTGCCATCCCACTCGAGGCTGAGTTTAGTCACTAATTTTTTTTCTACACTCACGTAAGAATAATTTTGCAATACATGTGAGAGGGAGATGGGTGTGCAAAGAAATTTTGCGAGTGTTATTAGAAGCATCCCCAAATCTAGTCTCATCTGCCTTATCTTGTGGTTCTTGTACAGTTTCTTCATTCGAGTTTGTTATAATTCCAATGTTCTGTTCACTGAGAAAAATATGAAAACATGCTGGTGTGTGAACTTGTGTTTGGACTTCTTTCATTGCCATATAGAGTTGTATTTATGCTTTGTCAAGTGGGTCTATGCTCATGCCACTTCAATTGGAAGAACCATTATTGTGAATATATTTAGGACATTGAGTGATAATTAAAATTAAAGCTAATTGTATTAATTGATTTTGTATGCTTAAGGTGGTAGGAATATGTATTTATACTTGGTGAATTTATAGACTAGTTTTGAGCAAAGATATTGACCAGTTTTGAATTTTTCTTGAATACTGATACTAATTTGAGGGAAAAAAATCTAGGATTTCAACTGTTGTTTGAGATAGGAAGGAGGAAGAAGGGCAATACGATCATTTTAGCAGAGCTATGTGAATGGTGTTAGCCATTCATTTTAGTCCAAAACTACTTGTGGGTTTTGTGGTTATTTTGGAAAATTGGAACATGATGAGGACAAGGGATAAAGTGCAATGAGAAAAAACCACAATTATTTATTTTTATTTTTTATATCCATGGTTTGACAGGGGAGGTAAGTGGTATGTTGAAAAATAAGGGAGTGGCAGTGGGATATTAGATAAATCTAAGGGGTGTCAGTGTAATTTATCCTTATTTTAATTAACTTGGTTCATTTACCTTGTTTTATTGTATCACCAATAAGTAGTTACATTAGAAACAATTGTGATTGTGATTATGATTGTGATTGTGTTATGAATATTTAAAAATTATGAACCACTGATAAAAATAATTATGTTTTCAGAAATTGTGATTGTAGCCAATGAGTTCTTACATTTTAATTTGGTTCATTTACTTTCTATTACCATTTACCAATATATGTTTTCAGAAAATTTATGGTACATATTAAAAGAACTTTGTAATAAACAATAAGTAATTTTTAAATTTAAAAAAAAAAATTGTAATAAACACCTACTTACCATTAGATGGATCTTGAGATAATTTGGCCTCGTTTGGCAAGAGGCTATTTTAGTCAATTAGCCAAAAAATTACTAAATTAGCCAAAAAGTTAACAATCCATACCAAAAAGTCAAAGATTCTCTTTTCTCTCTACTTTTTGCACAACTTTTTGTAAAAAGCTAAAAAGTCATCCAAACATACTAGTTTTTTTTTAGCTTATATTTTAGCCAAATAACCAAAAAGTTACTAAATTAGCCTGTTCCCAAACGAGGCTATGTAATTTTAAATTTGTATTTTAGTTCACGAATAAATGAGTAAAAATTGGGTCTGTTTGGTAACTATTTTGTTTTCAGTTTTCAGTTTATATTTATAAAAATTTAAAAAACTGTCATAAAAACTTGTTTGATAATTTTTCTGATTTTTATAAATAATTGTTTCAGTTTATAAATTTGAGGGAAAAAAAACGTATGAGTTTACGTTGGTTTTTAAACAGAAATTCAAAAATTTGACTAGCAATTTTTTTTTTCATTTTTTTTTTCAATTAATTTTTTAATTAATTTTTTTTTCAATTATAATGTGGTATGATCCCATTGTCATAAATAATAAAAAATAAATATAAATATTTTAGGCCTGAACAAACATATTTTTTAGTTTATGTTTTTAAAATATTTCAAATATTTTGTTCAAACCAAACGCGTTTGTAGTTTATGTTTTTTTTAAAAATAAACAAAAATCAATTTATAAAATTTTTGTAAATATAAATAAAAAAACGTAAACGTTACCAAACGCTATATGTGTGCTTGGTAACATTTACGTTTTCAGTTTATATTTACAAAAATTTTATAAACTGATTTTGTTTATTTTTTGTTTATTTTTAGAAAAACATAAACTACAAACGCATTTATTGTGTTTTCATTTTTTGGCCAAATTTATAAACTGAGACCACTGATTTATAAATCAAAAATTTTACCAAACAACTTTTTATTTGAGTTTTTAAAATTTTTATAAATATAAACAAAAAACTGAAAACGTAAAGTGTTACCAAACGACACCTATCTATTTTTATTTTAATTTATAAAAAATGAAGTTTAATCTGAAGTTTTGGATAAAGTAATTGAATATGATTTTTTCTAATTCAGTTATATCACTCTGTGTTTCGAAAAATAAACCATTTAAATAGGTTATGTTATTTCAAATTGTGTTTGTTTAGTGTTGAGTTATAGTCGATATTTTTAACTCCTAAATTTTAAATGTTTAAATTTAAATGACCATGCCGGTATGATTTTTGAAAAATAAAATTTGAATATTTTTCAATATGTATTTGGAGAAATTCCAAAAAAATCTTACAGCTTGATTCTTGTAACAAAATAAATTTAGAATTTTTAATTTCATCAATTTAAATCATGATCTTCTAATTTATTTTCAATTTAAATCACCTGTTTATTTTCGCTAAGTCAAATCGATGGGAAAAAAATATTTTAATCATTAAACTCAATGAAAATTGTATTTTAGACATTTTGATGTACACCTACATTGAGTTTAATGGTCAAAACAGCATTTTTCAGTCGATTTTATTTAACAAAAATAAAGAAATAGTTTACATTGAAAATAAATCAAAAAATTAGGATTTGAATTAAAAAAATTAATAATTCAGAATTTATTTTATTAGGATTTTATCCCTACGTATTTTTATTGTTTTTGAAAATAGAAAAATTAAGAAATTTTGTTTTATGTTTTGAAGCTCCCAAAAACTATTCATTGAAACCTTATTTTTACAAAAATATATGTGAAAAAGCAAAAAGAAAAATTAACTTTTTGGTAATAACTTTTTAACTATTTTAAGTAGGTTGCCAAAACAATAGAAAATAGATTTTCCCTACTCCATAGAATAACTTGATTATTTTTTGACTTTTATGCTTATTATTTAATTCTTTATAACCATTGTTTTTTTTTTCCGCCAATAAATTACTAACAAAAAAACATGTATGATTACAATACATTTTATAGGATATTCGGTTCATAAATTTAAATTTAAATTTTGTTTGGCTAAAAGTTCAAACATTGAAATACTTTGTTTAAAAAGACAAGTTTAAACAAAATATCTAAAATACCCTTATATATCATATACACGGTTCCATTCCATCACAAACAGTCACACTCTCTTTCTCTCCAAACCCTAACCCCCCCTCTCTCTCTCCCTCTCCCTCTCAAATAGTTTACCAATTATAATTTATATGTCAGTCAATCAAATATATCATTCTAGACACGGTGTTTGGCTTAGTAATTCATGAAGCTATCATCCGTCATTATTATATTATGTCCACTCTTTCTATATATAATTTTTTTTATTTAAAAAAGACAAAAAAAAAAACAATTTTAAAAATATAAAGTGTTTTTCTAGTCCTTGCGAATAATATGTTAACAAAAACTTAACATGAAATTTAATTACTAATTTTGTTTCCTAAAAAAAAAATGCATTTAAATATATAATTGCAATAATTTTTTTTTTATAAAAAAGTCTTACTTTTGTTGTCTTAAATTTCAAATAAACTTGAACCTCTTCTGTTCACAAAGCTTGACAGCGTAAACGTTACTGATAATCATATGCACTTTGCAGACCTTATCACAACAACTAACATAGGAAAATAAACAATAGTTATGTCTCTGTGTACAAAGCTTAGGTGACAATACAAACAAGTTTAGTAATAAATATAGAAAACCCTATCATAGTAGCTTAAAAATCTTATCACAGCAGTCAACATAGGAAAATAAACAATAACTACGCTATCCCTACAAACCAAAAATAAACTTTTCTCCATGACACTTTGATCCATAAAGTGAAGCAAACACCACAAAGTCCCACAAGGAATCCAGATCCCATGCTAACATAGAACCAGAGCATTTCGTTATCATTCTTAACACCATTGTCTTCTGAACCTCCTTCACCAGAAGTAGATGAATTAGATGTATGATCTTCATTGCCTGAGCACTTGGTAGGAAGAAAAAACTCACACAATAAAGGGTTGTCTGTATAAATAGACGAATCATCGAGTGTTTGGGGTTGGTTTCCTGATGGGATTTTTCCTGACAAGTTATTGTGAGATAGATTCAAGTGACTCGAAAAGGCTAAAGATGAGATGCTTTGTGGAATGGGTCTCGAAAGATTGTTGTTTGAAAGATCGAGTGTTTCCAATGATCTAATGTTTCCAATCTTCTTTGGGATGCTTCCTATTAACTTATTCCACGAAAAATTTAAGGCTCCTAATGCAATGAGGCTTGTGATATCTTCAGGGATTTCACCAATTAGATTGTTTTGAGAAACATCAATGGAATTGACATATTTAAAAGTACTGCCAAATTCAAGTTCTCTACATTTTTCCACCATACTTGTTCGCTCCACATAATTGTGTTTTGAATAGTATGAATACTAGAAGTCTGCGCATGAAATTCTACCATTATCATAACCCAATGCAATTAAATTAGGTAAACATTTGGGAATAACCCCTGAAATGTTGTTGTTTGCAAGATCTAAGAGGTGAAGATATAGAAGATCGCACCATTGTTGTGGGATGTTTCCACTAAAAGTGTATGATCGCAACCGTAGCAACTTAAGTCCAGTTATAGCCTCCCCTATCCATGAGGGTTACTTTCCAAATAGTCTATTTCCTTCGAGATCAATACTCGAAAGTGAACAATTCTGCAAAGAAGAATGTATTTCACCCTCTAGGTTGTTATTGCTCAAAATCAACATATTGAGAGAACTGATGAACCCCATTGAACTTGGCATAATACCAGAGAGATTGTTGTTCGCCACGTCTACGACCCACAAGTTTTTTGACCCATTCCAATACTGTGGAAGCTCCTCGGATAATTGGTTTATCCTACGGGAAAGTACTTGTAAGCTATTCATGGTACAAATGGATGACGGGATTGTTCCAGTCAAAACATTCTCTGAGAGATACAAACTGTGCAGTCGCGACATTAGTTCGTCAATATTTGATGGTATAGATCCTGAAAACAAGTTGCTTTGATGATAAAAGTAGGGTGTATTAGTTGACCAAAGTGGCGGTGGACTCTCGAAACGATTATAACTTAAGTCAATAGCATTTACTATTGGAGATTCTAACTTCTTTGGAAGCCTCCCTTTGATTTGGTTGTTAGACAGATCCAAATAGGTGAGCTGAGCTAAAATCTTGGAAAGCCATTTTTCAGGTAAGTTGTCCTAGGTGAGTTGAGCTAAAATCTTGGAAAGCCATTTTTCAGGTAAGTTGTCCTCAATTCCAACATTTTTAAGGGTTACTGCGGTGAGTTCACTTTGAACTTGAAGCCATAGAGAAAATCTGGGGCTAACCAAGCAGTTTTCTAAATGAAGTGATTTAAGCCTAAAAGAGGAAACCCATTCATATCTAACATTGAAAACCAAGGGCGTTTTTGTCTCTGGTGGTATGATTATTATATCTTCTAATCTTGTGAGATTAATCAAATGAACATTTGTTATGACAACTTCCTATGGATTTACTTCGAGATACAACTGAACGAGCTATGAGAGTTTTCCAAAACTTTCAGGAATTGTTCCAATCATATTATTGAATCCGAGGTCCAAATATTGCAATGACGACATATTTCCAATTGAAGTTGGAATTGAACCCCAAAAATAATTCGAACTGAGATCAAGTTGTTTCAAATTCTCAAGTATTCCTAATAAATCAGGTAATTCCCCACCAAATGAATTAGCACTTAAATCAAGTAACGCCAATATTCCTATTGATGGCTAATGTGTATTTTTGGTTGAATAACAGTGTTCAAATAGTGGTAACCTGACGGCATGCTTCATACTACCGGCAGTTTTGTAAAGGAGTGAACATAATGTAATCGGCAATCGGGACATGGTTTCGTACTTCTAGTACATAAAAAAAAGCGCCACTTTCTCAAATGGGGTATAATGTGAGAATTTGGAATCACATTGATCATCCGTAATTGATGACGCCAAATAAATTCATATATCTACCCCTGTCCTAGTTGAGAATTATGTGGATTAGGCCAAATACATCACATAGAGGAGGCACCACTGCAAAGTTCTTAACTGGGGTATGATGTGGCAATTCGGCATTACATTGATCATTCGTAATATCTGTAGCCGAATAGATTCATATATCTGCCCCTGCCAGTTGACAGGGATAATGCCGAAGAGGAAATTCAAAATCGGTGGGGCGTCCACCAAATGGTGCATCCGTAATTTAGGAATAACACAACCAAATCTGTAATTAATAGCCTGGTTGCTTTAAATAGATGCCGCACATGTAACGAAGAGGCAGCATTCGCAAAAAATTCCATTGAGTGATCAGTGAGTTGTGAGGTTGATATTCGTCGAGGTGAACAAGTTCGCATGTCTGGTAGGTTGTTCTTCAACAACAGAGGACAATGGAAAAGTTTGGAAGAGCTAGATACAAAGATGCACCAAGGAGCTGGTGGCAAACCTGTACGAATGAGAAACACGAAGTCTGAGGAACGAGACCGACGACGATCACCCAGGCGTCGAAGTAGATCACCAATGAGGGACGAGGCAAATAGATCTCCCAGACATGGGGTTGGGATCCAAAGAAAATGAAACACACGAGCTACAAGTGTTCAGGCTCTTGTTCGAAATAAGCCGAATAGAACGCCATGCCCCTTGAGTTTTTCAGTTTTCATTGGGAACAAACCCATGATCAAAGCCGACTTTGTTTGTGCCCTGATTGTGGTAGTTCAGTTTACTCAGCAAATCTTCCCTCTTGAAGTGCAGCAGTCAACGGCCAACTAGGGAGACTATGAAGTCTTCAGAGAGGGAGTTCACAGGACAACTAGAGGGTTGTATAGTTCCTATGAAATTGGCATTCGCTTGCTTGCCGCCCAAAAAGAAATTGATCACAAAGATGGGCAGATTCAAATTTAGAACGCCGACTGGAGAAAGTGAAGGAGTTGGCGGAAAACGAGGCTCGCAAAGCAAAGATGGCCAAACTCAAAGTGGCAAGGTCAACATTGATGGACACGATTTCAAACCGTCTGATGGACCATGCAATTGCAGACTAAGATACGGCTAGCATCTTTGCGAGAAAGGCCATAGAAACCCGAGCCTATAACAAGGGTTTTTCGACGAGAGGAAAATTGGTATCGACAAGATGATGGAGAAGCTAACTGTAGACACCCCATTTTTGACCGTCCTCAAGACTTGGACGTCGCCGTTTGAACACTCGGTGATCATCCATGTTCGTGTTCGTTTTGAGTTCTCGGAGGTCTCGGCTACACGCCTTGCCTTAAGATCTCTTGACTTGCTTGTTTTGTGTTTGGTTTTGCACCAAACACTTGTTTCGCTTCTGAGGGCAGGGAATGGCTTGTTGGCCATCCCCACACCTCACCGGCCATGTCTTGAGGCCACCGGCCCTGTTTTGTTGCTACCGGCCATTGGTGATGGCCGGTCGGCACTCTTTACGGTCGGCCGACCATTGTTTTGGTCAATTTGTAATTTTTGGCTAGCCGACCACTGTTCATCTGCTTTTGGCAGATATTTTATGCCAGCTGTGATAGCTGGCATCCACAATGCCCCCCCTTCATACACGTGTATGGAGGGATTTCCCTCTTGCTTAGCTTGTTTTGTAAGCTTTGCAAGATTGGAATTCCTATAAAGGGAGGGCTTCTCCTCCCTCCTCTGGGGTTCCAAAAAGTTCTAGAGGTCTGATATTAGGGTTAGAGCAGTCCTATATCTATCTATCTCTATATCTCCCTCTCCTTTTGATTTGTGTGTGTATAAAGGTGTTTTGTTCTTAGTTTTGCATTAAGACACATAGTATTACACCATACCTTGGTTGCTGAGGTGCCAAAGGATTGTTCTTGGAGTTTTTGAGTTGGTTTTGACCTAAGGAGGCTGCTGGAGTGGTCTTCTTGAAGAAGGTTTTCAAGGGTAAGAACCTTACCCTTTTATTCCCCATTTTTGCACAAGCTTTTGACCTATCTTGAATCTATTTTTGAGCTTAGTGCATAACTAATAAAAGTTTTTATTTTGTGTGTTTTAGAACTTTGTTTAAGGTTGCTTTGAGGTTTGGGATTGTTTCCCTCCTCCAAGGCCTTGTTAGGCCTTGTTTAAGGCCATACCTTTTTGGCCCTCGCTTTGAGCTTTGCATGACCTCTCTACTACTGAAATCGAGAGGATTTTTAGTGGTGGAGAGATGGTTTTGAGGTCTTAAATAGGAGAGGGTCATCCCCTCTCCATGTTGCCTTTGATGCTTGCACAAATGGCTTGTGTTGTAACTTGTATGCCTAGCTTGCTTTAGCTTCATTTCAGCCGGTATTTGTGCTTATTTTGTCATGATATAGCACTGTTTTAAGTTGGTTTAGACATACCTTGCATGCTTTGCATACTTGTCTTGTAATGTCATGAAATTGCCTTAACATGCATCATGATGTACCATGACTTTCTAGCATGATTTTGGCTTAGCTTTGTGAAGTTTTTATGCATGTTTTGGTATGCTTAAGGTCTGATTTTGGTTGTTTGAGTCATCTATGACTTGCTTTGTATAGCCACCATGCAACCTAGCTTGTAGGCTTTGAGTATTGGATCCTCTAGCATGCTTTACTTGCATTATTTCAGTGACTTGGAGTCACTTACCATGTCATTTCAGTCCATATGGCATGCTTGTTTACTCACAATTGATGCTTCTTTAATGTCTTAAAGAGTTTGTGTTTCATGCTCCATGTTTGTGCCATTGTGTATGCCATAATGTGTAGGCATTTGGGATGTCATCTAAGTGTGTCTTGGCCTTGTTTTGGTCTGCCTTGGGACTGCTTTGAGTCCCTTTGGCCCTTTGAGGCTTGGTTGGCATGGTCATGGCTTGAGCCCCTTGGCTAGCCTTGAGCCTTGGACTTTGTTGCATGCTTTGCTTGATTTGTTTAGTTGGTTTGGCACCTTTTCTAACATGATTTCAAAGCTTACAATGTATGCCATTTGTCCATGTTTGTTCCTTTTAAGTGTGCTTAAAAGTTTCCTTTTTATGCTTAAATATTGGACCATGTATGCATGCATGTTTGTATGTACATTTGCCTCAATTTTCTTGGCATATTGGCCACTGTTTTGGACCTAGTAGAGAGCTGTCCATTTTGGTGTAAGTCCATCATTTGCATGTTGTTGCATGCTCGCCTTGCGTGTTGTTGCATGCTCGGCCTATCGCATGTTGTTGCATGCTTGAATCACTTTGCATTTAGCATGCATTTTCTTTGTTAAGTTGTTTTACATGTTTCCATGCTAAGTCTCCTTCACCTGTTGTTGCATGTTTGTCATTAGCATTGTTGTTACATGCCTTGCATGCTTGTTTGCTTAGGTTGTGTGCCTAGTACACATTGCTTGTTTGCATG